TCAAGTGAGGCATTCATGCTGGCTTCACAGGTGTGGAATGCCTGTTATATGGCAGGCTCTGTGCCATGAGCTTCTCATGCATGTTAGCCCTCATTCCATCTTTAAGAGATAGGCACTATGATTATTCCCATTTTACAAGTGCGTAAAACTGAGATTTTGAGAAGCTAAGAAACTTTTCTAACAACACAATGACTTCTAGGAGGGTGAAGAAGGGTCCCTAGAGGGACATGGGAGGACTGGCTTACTTCATACTTGTGAGCTAGGTAGCCCTGTCTAACTTCTCTCCTTCTAGGAGACAGTTTGGATTTCTCTCTCCCTTCAGAAAATGGGCTGTAACAGAAAGTGGAGCCCCAGGGTTGCTGCAATATCTTAAAGCCCTTGGAGAAGAGGCAGAGATTGCTTTAGGGTTAATCGGCTTCTTTTAAAATATGCAAAATGTCCTCCAGGTTTTCTGCCTAGAAACTGGTCCCTCGCCTCATAGCATAGTTTCCCCCTGATCGTTACATGGATGATGAAGAATGATTCACAATGGAGACAGCCCTTGGTGAATGGGCACAGGAAGGGCTTTAGACAGTCGGTGAGAAGGATGTAGATCATTCAAAGAGGAAGAGGGTGGTCAAGATGGGATGGAGCCTCCTTTGTGGGCTCCTCTTCTCCATCATTGCTGAGTGCATAGATAAAGTGTATCCTGACAAATGCAAAAGAAGCTTCATAAAAGGAAATCCTTGTCCATGAAGCATGAATTTGGGAATCTGTTATTTAAATCCTTGGCATTGAGGGCATAAAAATATGAAGGTCACTCATGGTTGTCCAATAAGGAAGTGATCATTTATTAGTAATGTAATTTATTATTCCTCTCTTGTCATCTCTTTCTATCCCTCTACTAAGAGAGTTAGCCTGAAATTCTCCCTGGTGGTCTGAGCACATTCACTGACTTGAACAAGCACCATCATTGGTCTTTTCTCCAGAGTTTGCATTTGTAATAGATGGTTTTTCCAACTACTGGTAGTCAAGTGAAACAAATGTTGATTTTGGTTTACATAAGAAACAGTTTTAATCTATTTACTGCAATAAATTTTGTGCTTATATTTTTCTTGTGCTATTTTTTTTGCATCAGAAAAAAAATCAATAAAAGATCATAGTTCAAAGTATTATTCTCTGGTTAAACTAACAGTGTCAGAATGAGTTGATCTTTCTGCAAACCCAAACATTATTGAACTCTAACTATTGATCTGGAAAATAACCTGGGTGTGTCTTTTTGAAAATAAAATGCTAATAGTTATTTGTTGATTTAAGCATATATACTCTGAATCATGTGTCAAGAACAAGGGTAGAACAAAGCAAATTCTACATTTGAGAGACCCAGCAATTAAAATCCACTGGACAAATCAGACAAAAGTATCTGATTGCGGTTCATAATACTATATTAGTCATCCCCTAGATGATTCACTCAAGATAAATAGATACTGCCTCTGCTCTTCCTTCTCAGGTTTATAAAATTAATGGTCATGGACTGGAAACCACAGTTCCATGAATGACAGGGAGAGCACTTGCAACATAAGAAAGTGAAAAGAGAAAAATCCCTACTACAAGTCTTTGCTCATTCTCTTCTCTCAATTGTGGATGGTAGGTTCACATGTCAATGGGGAAGGGAAGTTCTCAGAGTTGAAGACCCCCCAGTATTGTAATCTCATAATGTCTCTTTGAGCAGAAAGTTTGAGTAGGCCTTACCACCACTCCAGAAGGTAAGGATAAGGTCAGTTATCCTCAATTATAGAATAAGTTATACTGCATCTTTTGCATATCTGAGATGTACTGTGTTCATTTTCGACCCTCCATGCAAAACCTTACCATTGCTTTTAATGACACTCCTATCTACCATTTAAGATTCTATTTAAATATACTGTCTTTGGTGAGGCATTGCTCTAGCTCCCCTGCATTGCAGGGCACATATTAGGTGCAAATAGGCATGGACAGATGATAAAGACATGGACTTATAATCTATATCTTCTCCATATTCTGTAAGGTTCCATGACAACCTAGGCTGACTCACATACCAAGTGGGCTGCCAACTGCATGGGCTATTTCTTCTAGTAAGGACTCCAGCTGGTCGGAGTGGAACAGACATTCTGTAAGTCTGCTGCTTCGGATAATCTCTTGCTGTTTGTAACTGTCAAAGGGCCAAAGACTGATTTACTGGCAGTTACATTATTTCCAAAGGCACACAGTTTCTCAGACCTTTCTATACTCAGGGATGGGAAGCTCCTTAAGACAGGTGTCTGGGATTTCAGTGTCCACATGTTTTGAGAGTATCCAGTGCGTGATCCAGCAACGGAATGGAGTCACACAGTTATATCATTACCAGCTCCTGCAGATGCTTTTCAAATTCCCCACACCCATATGAATGTCAAAGTAAATCCCATGCCTTACACTGATTCATGGGACTGTGCATGAAGCTGAGACTTCCTGTGCAGAAAGCCTGCATGTCACATGCAAGCCCTTCCGCCTATAATGTCATGCAACACAATTTGTCCTGCAAATACTGTGGATGTATACTGCACTCAGATCAGTACAAGTTGATAAACGATCTCATTTTAATAATGACTGCCTATCTATTTTCAAGGACATTTAATAAACTCAAGATTCCTGGGTGACGCAAAACAAATTTTTGTTCTGGGGGACTGGCTAACGCCTGGAAAGATATTTAACGTGTTTGCTTTCCTACTACTGCCACTAAATGCCTCTCTGGCAAATACACACACATTTCCAAACACCCGCCCTGGCTGAAAACCAGCATGTGATGTATCGTGTTGCTTGCCATTTTTCTGCAGGCACATGGTGTAATGAGTGAACCCCTCTGTAACAGCAGATCACCAGAGTTGCCCTGGCAGTTGCCATACTCTATCCATAGTTTCCTGTATGATTGACTCTTGCAATTCCCACGAAATTTTGGACCTTTATTTACTCTGTTTCTTTTTTTTTTTTTTTTTTTGAGACGGAGTCTCACATTGTCACCTGGGCTGAAGTGCAATGGCACCATCTTGGCTCACTGCTGCCTCCTGGGTTCATGTGATTCTCCTGCCTCAGCCTCCCGAATAGCTGGGATTACAGGCACACACCACCATACCCGGCTATTTTTATTTTTTATTTTTATTTTTTGTATTTTTAGTAGATACGGGGTTTCACTATGTTGGCCAGACTGGTCTCGAATTCCTGACCTTGTGATCTGCCTGCCTCGGCCTCCCAAAGTGATGGGATTACAGGCGTGAGCCACTATGCCTGGCCAAGTCATTTACTCTTAAAAAAAAGCAGTGACTACAACTCCTTTTTTTTTTTTTTTTTTTTTTTTTTTTTTAGATAGAGTCTTGCTCTGTTGCTCAAGCTTGGAGTACACGCTGCTCCATCTCGGCTCATGGCAATGTCCACCTACTGAGCTCAAGCTATTAGCCTGCCTCAGCCTCCTGGGTAGCTGGGATTACAAGCATGCACCACCACATCTGGCTAATTTTTGTATTTTTGGTAGAGACAGTGTTTCACTATTTTGGCCAGGCTGGTCTCAAACTCCTGACCTCAAGTGATCCACCCACCTCAGCCTCCCAAAGTGCTGGGATAACAGGTGTGAGCCACCATGCCCAGCCTAGAGCTTCATCTTTAAGAATATAAAGAACATTATATGGGGAACAGTGACTTCCTGCCTCTCTCCTCTCCTGAGAATTAGTCAAGAGGTCATACACATATAGTTTGGCAAGAGAAGTTTGGATTTCATGTAAGGCAGAAATAATATCTTGGCAATGTGAATCAGAGTAGGTTCCAGAGAGTGACTGTGTCCTAGACCCACCAAAAGACCTTCCCTTGACAACATAGCTGAAAAAAATCTCTGTAAAAATAGGCAGCTACGCAGCTGCTTCTTCTGGTGGCTGGGTCCAAGGCTTTGCTCTGCCTGACATTCACAACCCTGTGCCCGCTTCAACCCCATGCATCAAGCCACCTCCTCAGGAGACTCCAAGCAAGTCTCCTCTCCAGCCATCCTAACCCTCAATTCCTAGCCTATCTGCTGACTTCACTCACCCTTGATGAAATTCTATAAATGCTTACAAATCCCAAGAAACTCTACTGTTTGGGAAACCGCTCTCATGCCACCATCTCTGAGTCTATTGCCTCTCTCTGTGTAGTCCCACAGCACATTATTTGTGCCTCCTGTAACATTTTTATCTGATTATTTGTGTATGTTTGTCATAGCCTCCTATTCCCAAATTATAATCTTATAAGATCAGGAATAATGTTTCATCCATTTCTCTGCCCCATCTAAAACAGAACCCTGCCTAGATGAGTTGCTCAATCAATGTTCACTGAATGAATGAATGAATGAATCAACAGATGGATGGATGAATGGATGGACTGCTGGGTAAATATATATTTGGGTTACTGGCCACACATGACTCCATATCAAAACAAAGAAATATAATTTTTATGTAAGGACTAATTTACATTTGAACTTACAAGTTAGAGATCATTAAAAGTTTGGCAACTTGAGAAAATAAATAAGTATTTTCTTACCTAGAGCTGATACACCTAAGAATACATCTGAGTGTCCTGACTAACACATCCGTGATTAATGAACACATGGATGGCTAGCATGGACATCCACTCATGAGACAAGACCTTGAGAACCAAGGCTATGGAATTTTATTCCAATGGTTATCAATCTTGAAAGGGTTTTTTTTTGTTTTAGAATCTCAGCTCAAAGTCACCTTCCTATTATTTTGAAATGAAGACAGTTACAGTGGAGGTCTAGATGCCATTTCAGTTTCTGCTGACTCCCAAAGGCAGTTTTGAGTAACTTACCTTTTCTGTTCCATTTAATACATGTCTCTAGTCATAATAGTGAAAAACAGCCCTTGCGGTTTTTCTGAAAGGCAGATTTATCAGGATAGGTCACCAGTACTGGAGTTTATCAAATGGCGAAACAAACAAATAAGTAAAAACCCACAATCCTTGGATAAGGTTGAAATTAGGAATTTCTTTTTTATTGGCCACTAAATGTCCTAGCAAGTTTCTGACAGAAGCATAGACAGAAAATGGAAACAAATACCTTACTGGGAATGTTTCCTTGCTTGCACTAACCTTGACTACAGCAATAATGCATTGCTCAACAGTCAAAGTGCACCAGGTCATCTCCGCAAATGGCAGGATAAGTGACTGTGCCGTTCCCAAAGAAGCAAAACAGATGCAAACAGGTCCCACGGGTGTCCTGGCTGAGTACAGAGGAGGCTGCTGGAGCTGCAGTACCCTTTTCCTAAGCAAGGAAAGCCAGCTGTGACCCCCTGCTTGCCGGCAGGGGTCCCCACCCTCCCCTCCATCATCCGGCCCATAGCTGTACCACCAATTACATTTTCTTCCAGCATCCACTTCATTTCCTACTTTTACAGCATTTCATCCTCTCCTTTTGCAGCCATTACAAATAAGATCAGAACCGTGTCCAAACAAGTGCATTAAGATAGGCCCCTATTGGCAAAGTCAAAGAGCTCTCACACATGGTGGTCTTTTTGTCTTCTCAAGAGGAACTTGTATAAACCCATGTACCAACATACTTGATGTAATCAAGGAAGGGTCTCCCCAAATTGTAAGCATTTAATTGCAGAGTCTTGTCAAGAAACTTCTTCCCACCTTTACAACTGAATGGCTGAATTTGAAAGAAGGTATCCAGCTTAATAGCTAAAATAATATTGTTTACAAAATAAGAGAGGAAAACACCTATTGATATATTTTGTTGGAAGTGTGCCATTGTGATCTGTAGAAAGCTTTAGAAGATGTGAGAGAAGGTGGTACAGGGATGTTGGGGATGGGATGGGGGAGGCAGGGCCATCAGGTGGGTGGTAGGAGTGACATGGGCTGTTGGGAGTTCTGTAATAAAACCTTCCCCCATTGTAGACCTGACATAGGATGAAAAGCTAAACCCTTCTCCACACTGGGAGTGTTTCCTTCTGCCTGCCCAGGGGCACCTGGGACTTAGGGTCAGCTTAATTCCGGCACTGTTCTCTCTTGTGATTTTAGAACATTCTCTCGCTTGGCACCAATGATGCACAGATGTTGTGATTAACAGCTGCCTAGCCCAGTCATTGTCAAAAGGGGAGGTTCCTTTGTGTGACGAAATGTAGATATCAAATGATTGTGCAGCTTTAACAGACAGCTAAAGGCCCTGTTGCATTTGGAGGAATGGGACAAAACCAAAACCAAATGGAACTTTTTTCTTTTCCCACCCACCCTCTGTCCCCCAAAAGCAAAATATCTTTTGTTTTTCCAAAGTCATAAGAGGCACAAACAGGTAGCAAGAAGGCATCAGTGAAGCATCTCCCGCTGAGCACTCTCTTTGGCCCTGATGAGTGATCTTTCCGCTACTCAGGTGATGACAGTGGGTCCCCTCCGGCCAGTTCTCTCATGAATCTGGGATATTTTCAGTGCGATGGCTATGAGAGGGCTCAGCACTGCCTGCAAAAGGAAAAGGAAAGTCTGTGAACAACTCAAGTCAGTTACATTTTGGGGCATCTGCTGGATTTCTATGATAAGCATCTGGACTTAGATTCCAATTCACTGTTTACAGGCAGAGTCTTCATGGGCAGGACATCTGTCCTTTCTCGACCTTTGCTTCCTCCTCCACCAATGGAAGTTGGAATGGGCGGGGCAGGAGAGTAGGGGGAGAAGGTGATCTCCAAAGCCTTAACCAGCTTCAAAAGAAATTTATTTGTAATAGGAAAATGTACAGCCCAACTACCAAACATGAGAGCACTGTATGAAGACAGCATTGTGAATTAAGGGAGTTCAGAAAACTCCCAGTCTTCTGCTGCTACACCCTCATTCTCACTACACACACACACACACACACACACACACACACACACACGAGAATAAAAGCTCATTCTTCATCCTAGGGCCATGGATTTAAAGAACCTACAATCCTGATGTTTCTGAAATGACAGACCAATTCACTGGCCAATGTTGCAGAAATAACTGATCATGCCTTCCCATCACATAACACTGGGCTTATGAGGCACCTCAGTGGGTTCCCTGGAGGAGGTGGGCATGCTTTAGAAGTCTGAGTAATAGGTTCTTGGCAAGGTGAAGGACATGAGGAGGAGGAAGACTCATTTCTTTCTTATTGTTTCATGGGATTGAGGCATTGTTTTCTGAGGTGTGGAGCATGCAACACTCACGATTTTCAGTGGTGCGTGGGTATGGTATTGCTAATAAACAGTGAGAAAATCAGTCTATTTTCCATTCCTCTTCAATCCTTCTGATTTCATCAAGGAAAAACTCTGTTTGCTGCCAACCTTTAACACTTTAACCAAGATAGTGCATGCCTCAGGCAAGAGTTACCCAGCTAGAAGGTAAAGTCACTGCATGTTTTTATTGAATTCATGTTCATGATGTGCTTATATTTATCAAGTGGGATTGTTTTTTCCATGTAGAGTACTTTTTATAATAAATAAGTAGATTGAGGTAAAAACAAAGTGAGTCAATTTAAAGACAAATATTGGCCATGTGTGGTGGCTCATGCCTATAATCCCAATACTTGGGAAGGCTGAGGTGGAGGATCACTTGAGCCAGGAGTTTAATACCAGCCTAAGCAACATAGACCCCATCTCTACAAAAAACAAAAATCACCTGAGTGCAGTGGTGTGTGCCTATAGTCCTAGCTACTGGATAGGCTGAGGTAGGAGGATGGATTGAACCCAGAAGTTCAAGATTACAATGAACTATGATTGTATAACTGCATTCCAACCTTGGTGACAAAGTGAGACTGTGCCTGTCTCTAAAAAGAAAAAATAAAAATAAAATAAAAAATAAAGACACATACTAATATAGAGATACTAATAGAAAAGAAGTTTGGGTAACACTAGGATAAGGGAAGAAACAAAAATTCTGTAATTCAGGAAAATAAAGCTTGCATTTTGGGAGGGGAAAGGAATTCAGTTCCTTGTGGGCCCTAACCTATTCCCATGCATGAAGGGAGTACACGCATTCCAATCCACACAACAAGAACACAAGAAAATGCACAAGGTACAAGACAGCACAAGTAGTCCGTTGTATCCTGAGTGGCATATAGATACAGAAGAATCCTGAGAGATGTGAGCCAGCCTTGTTGGGAGGGACCTAAATGCTAGGGTGAGGTGTAAGGATTTAATTCATTAGGCAAGGGGAGGCATTGAAGTGTTTTGGGTTGGAAGGTGACATCAGAGCTGTGCTTTGGAAATATTGATATGGCAGCAATTTATGGTTACAAGTATTAAATTATCTTACTCTATGAAGATGGCTAGATGGACAAGCTCACATAGACTCCTGGAAGCTGGAAGAAAAATGAAAATCTAGAACACAGGAAAGTGGCACTTTCCTCTGATTCCATGTTGATCATCTTGATTTGTAAAAACAGAAGGGATTCTTTTCCTCTTAATAACCCAGCTGGTGCCCAGAAACATTTTATACTGGCACATTTTGCCAGGACATATCCCATGTGATGCCAAGATAGAGGGATCTCTATTCTTTAGGAGCAAAGTGCCCATCTTGTACAGAAATTCAATTTTTAGCTTTGCTCCTCTTCTTGTCTTCTCTTCCCTCTTTCCTGCTCCCCTTTTTTGGTTATGCAATTCTTCATTAACACCTATCAAAGAAGTTAAACTCAGACAGAAAGAGAGTGAAGTTAAACTTAATCACTTTAGCTGAGGTTTTAGAGGCCAAATAAAGATAAACATATACTATCCTATTATTTTAAGAAAATGCAATGAAAATGAATTTGAAACTTACAGAACTAAAGGATTAAAACATATTCGGTTTTACATCACTGTAAATTTCAAGATTTTTTGACTCCACATCTTTAAGTGGTGGTACTTATTGGCAAAAGGGTGGGGAAGCAAGTTTTAACAAATACTGTAAACACCAGAGAAGTTCTCTTTACTGATCTCCACTTAACTCTATAAACTAACACATGCTTTTCACTTCAGTAAAACATCTTGACTCACATCCATAGCTCACTAGATGTCCGTGACCAATAGGTCACTCTCTAACACGCTCACCTACTTTTACCTTCAGCAGTTGCATTCTGTGTTTATCAGGAGTCAGTTAAGTTTGTTCCCAATACGTTAATGCCTATTGTACTAATTATTGAGACTATGCAATTTAATTATATGTAAACCAATGAAATGTGAATGCAAATAAGATGACTTTTTTTTTCTATGAAAATTAAGTTGAGTGTTTTGGAAAGAACAGATAATGGTGATTAGCTAATCCTGTCAAATTAGATGTGGGTGAGACACTACAAAATATTGGGGAGAAATTTTTAAGTTATAGAAGAATTAGTTTTTCAGATTGCTTCACAATTGTCATTAAGTTCCTATTGTAATATAAAGGAATCAAAGACAAATGTTATAGATGATGAACTATGAGTGGGAATCTTTTGAAGAAAGAGGATTACAATGGTAAACAGTGTGCTCATATTAAAGAAAAGGTCTTGGACCAAAATCAAAACATTGGCAAATGCATGTACACTTATATGTTTTATGATAAAAATGTAACAGGATATCTGTGTGTATAGTGGACCTACTTAACTCTCTTTCTGGATTCATCAACCAAGCACTTGTCCCTTCTGTTCATGTCATAGAAGAGGGCTTCTGTGGTGCTTATGCAAGCTGAAGGGAAGAAGATGCCACATGAGGAAACCCCTGAACATGAGGATTCCCATCCTGAGCCAAGAGCCCTGGGCAAATCTGGCACAGATGCCATGGAGTCATCTGCCTTCAGGGAAATATGAGTGTTTGGGAAGAAGCACATCAAGGATAACTACCTCACTGACGTTCAGTCTTTTCAGCCATTTTCCAGGAACCACAGAAATTCTTTAGATTTTGTATGATCCTAGGAAGGCCCGGGAAGAAGTCCCTAAAAATACCCAACATTGAATTTTTTGCCAGCTTTGTGGAAAGGAAGCTTCAAGTTAAGCTCCCATTTTTAAGACTAATGAACTAATTTATTTTTTCTTCCCTGAGTGTATAAATTAAATAGTCATGTGTCACTTAATGATAGGGACACGTTCTGAGAAATGCATCGTTAGGCAATTTCATCCTTATGCAAACATTATAGAGTGTACTTACACAAACCTAGATGATATGTGTATTTTTATTTATATATTGTTTTCCATATGGGAAACTAAATGTCCCAGCACCATCGCTAAATATCAATTATTTCCCCTACTTGATTCACAATGTCAATATCAAGTGCCATGTATCAGGTTTCTATACACGCTCCATTTCAATACTATGGGGCCACCATAGAATATGTGGTCTGTTGTTGACAGAGACATCACTACACCATGTATGATGTTATATATGTGCTAGAATGAGTGGCCACACCATGAGGGACGGCAGAAACTTTCTCTTATTCATTGCTAAGAAAAGTATCTACTGCTTACGAGATACTCAATACATCTTTGTGGAGTACATGAATGATATATTTGATGAAAAGATGATGAGGCAAATAGAGACTCCTGCGGGCATTCCTGGAGGACATTGTGTACATGTGGGAGGGTCAGCAGTACTGGGATTTTACTCATGTTTTTCTTTAGAAATCACACCTCTGATACATGTAAGCCCCAGACACTTCTCTCATATCATCAACCATGCCTCATACTGGGTGGGAGTTAATTTTCCTGAGACAATTGGACAGGCCATTGGAATGAGGAGCAAAAAGAGGGGTTATGAACTGTGGATGTGAGTTTTCTAACATGGAGCTGGAAGCACAGAATTTCAAAAGCAGAGAGGAATGTGGATTGGTGTCGTTTGATTTCTTCATGGCACAGATGAGGACGCTAAAGCCCAGTGCGACACAGGATTGACCCACGGTCACACATCTGTTTGGTGGCTGAGCTGGGATAAAAACATAGAGTGACCGCCTCTACTGCACTTTCCATTATACAGTTCTGCATATAAGACCTGAGAGTGACAAAGATAAAGAGAGAAAGACAATATGCACTGAATGGGGAGGAGCAGGGAAATCGTGGGATCATCACCCTGTTGGACCAGATGAGTCCCACATCAGATGAGGAGCTGGGTAGGATTGACCAGTCTTCCTCCCTGACCAAAACCAGGCAGACAGTGGGAGAAGAGGTGTTCTCAGTTATGTGGGTTATGTGAATGTCCTGGAAACTACAAAATGACTCTTTGTGAATAAAAGAAATAAATTAATAGAGACTTTAATAAATTATGTTAGAGTATAGCATTGTTTTTCTAATTCCAGTGTTTTTTAGAGTACCTAACAACAGTCAAGAGTAGGAAGCAGTGACTGCTTATCTTGCTCCAAACCAAGCAGGTCACGCATCCTTTCAAGATGGCATCTTCTGCCACCTTGCAAGGTTTTCTGTACGTTTGCTTTTGATTTTAATTGCGCTACAATATTTATCTGGATTACTGAGTATTTTGGCATCCACACCCACTTAAATTTTGCAC